CCTGCTACTATGTCATTACAAGCTCTCTGCTCCAACCAGAGAGGATAGGATTTGCTGTTCCAGTATATTTTACCTGAAGTGAATGTTAAGTTAATATAGAGATCAATTTCATCCTGTTCAGTTGCTTTGTCAACCAGAGTTTCTTCCCCTATGTCCTCCTCCATCATGAAATAATCCTCTAGGATCTGATTTAAACAAACAAACAAACAAGAATATGGAAACTCTTATAACATATAATAATAATAATAATATTAATAATATTAATAATAATAATAATAATAATAATAATAAAGTTGGAAGGGACCTTGGAGGTCATCTAGTCCAACCCCCTGCTCAGGCAGGAAACCCTATATCATTTCAGACAAATGGCTGTCCAGTCTCTTCTTTAAAACTTCCAGTGTTGGAGCATTCACCGCTTCTGGAGGCAGGTTGTTCCACTGGTTAATTGTTCTAACTGTCAGGAAGTTTCTCCTTAGTTCTAGGTTGCTTCTCTCCTTGATTGGTTTCCATCCATTGCTTCTTGTCCTGCCTTCAGGCGCTTTGGAGAATAGCTTGACTCCCTCTTCTTTGGGGCAGCCCCTGAGATACTGGAACACTGCTATCCTGTCCCCCCTCGTCCTTCTCTTCATTAAACTAGACCAGTGGTGGCGAACCTATGGCACGGGTGCCAGAGACGGCACTCAGAGCCCTCTCTGTGGGCACACACGCCGTCGCCCCAGTCCTAGGCCTTCAGCTGGGTTTTATAAAACCTTTTCGCTTTAGTTCTCCGCCGCCATGTACAAAAAAAAAAAGTTTCAATCAATCAGTCAATTTCAACTTCTCATGGGAAAAAAAAGATCTTGCAAAGTTGGAATTGATTGAACTTTTTAGTCCCCCACAGTCAGCCGTTACCACCGCAGCCACGCCCACCCAATGGGCCACAATCACCCGGCACCCGATGATGCATAAGTGGGTTTTGGGTTGCAGTTTGGGCACTCGGTCTCTAAAAGGTTCGCCATCACTGAACTAGACATACCCAATTCCAGCAACCGTTCCTTATATGTTTTAGCCTCCAGTCCCCTAATTTAAACTCCTTCTTGGGAAAAAAAAATAGGGAATTTGACCAAAACAGAATCTCAGCGTGGGCCAGTTCAAGAAAGTTTAAACTCAAAAGAGTTTTGCTTAAACATCTGTCTACTTCAGCCAGTAGTAGTGTTTTGAACTGAGCCAGCATCACTGCTGAGTTACTACTATCTACGCTAGCAGCAGTTCCTCTCCAACTATAAGACGGCCAATAATTTCGTTTTTTTTTTAAAGATTCAAGCCCTAGTTTAACAGCCAAAAAGTCCCCGCTGAGAAGGATACTCCAGCCTCTTCCTTCCCTCCAGCAGTCACGAGGAGGAATAATTCATATTTAGGAGGGAAGGCGAGGGAAGAAAGGAGGCGGAACAACTCCGTGAGTAAAGGGAACTGCTAGCCCCGCGGAGCATCCTCTCCACTCCGCGCTCCGGAATCCAGGAGTAAGTCTTGCTACTACCGAGTGCACGGACACAGCTACACCGGGGAAACGTACGACTCAGCCCTACACTCACTACTCAAGGGTAGTATTTAAAGGCAGGAGCCAGGAAAGGCGAGGAGGCAAGACAAGGAGGTGGGGATGCAAATGCGCGGCGCTTCTTCCAGCGGGCGCGGCATCCATGCCGGCTGCTTACCACGTCCAGCGCCCCGGCGGCTTCGCCTCCTTCGGCCATGGAGCCCTCGTAGCGCCCTCGCCCGGCAGCGGTCCCTCCCTGCGGCCATGCCGGCGCTTTTAAAGGGCCTTTTCGGGGGCGGGGCGGCGGGTCCGGGTCTCATTTAAAAAAATACACCCCCCCCCTTTAAGGGACCCAGCCACGGGGGAGTCGGGTCCCGCGTGGCTCCGGGGCGCGGGGCCGGCTGGTTTGCCAGCCCCCTCCCCTCCGGATCCCGCGGAGCCGATCTGAGTTCGAATCGAGCTGAATGGAATTGAACCCGGGTGTATTCCATCGCGGGTCAAACGGGTCGTGCGAAAGCGACCGCCTCGGTGTTTCCGGCCTGGGAGCCAGTCTGCGCGCCAGGCTGGTTTGCTGGACTTTCGGGTCGCCGTCATTCCTGGCCAGGCTGGCTGGGGATGATGGGCCATCCCATCCCGGATGGGAAAAGCGACCGTCGTTTCTCAAGGATGGCTCCTCTTTCTCCGTTTACGGGGAGCGTTTTCTTGAGTTGGGGGGGGCTTGCTGTATTAATTTCCCTTGGCTCGTCCTCAGTCCATGCTGTATTCACACACACACACACACACACACCTGCAGTCGGACCAGGTGAAACGTAGCTAGATCCATTTGCACAACAGGCTTGCTTTGGTTTTAACTCCGGGGCTGTTTTTTCCCCCTCACGAGTCGCTGTTCTCCAACGCAGGTCCAGTTCCCTTGGCTCGCTCCGAGTGTATTGCATGAACCCAGAGAATGGATTAATTCAAGAACCAGGTTTGAACTCGTCCATCACAGGTCAAACATCTGCATTCATTGGGAGAGTTGATATTAAGAGCCATGGGAAGGTTGCGCTTTAAGAGAGCTGATCTGGGGCTTTACACCTGCCTCTCAGGTGCTCTTCAGCATCCATCATCAAAGGCTGTTGTTTTGAAACTACCCACGAAACGGCTGGCAAATCCAGCAAGGGAATATTCTTCTTGCCGCTGGTGCCAACTGCCTGGATAAAAGAGTCCGAAGTCCAAACTGATTTACACAATCTCTGGTAGGTGTAGATCAGGGGCAGGCAACCTTGGCTCTTTTATGACTCGTGGATTTCAACTCCCAGAATTCCTGAGCCAGCTATGTTGAGCGGAAAGGAGAGGTTTCCAAGCTAAGCCGTGCTGGCTCAGGAATTCTGGGAGTTGAAGTCCACGAGTCCTAAAGGGGGCCATAGTTCCCCTATGCTGGCTCAGGAATTCTGGGAGTTGAAGTCCACGAGTCCTAAAGGGGGCCATAGTTCCCCCATGCTGGCTCAGGAATTCTGGGAGTTGAAGTCCACGAGTCATAAAAGAGTCAAGGTTGCCTACCTCTGGTATAGAGTGTTTGTTACTCATTCCTCCCTACCAACCAGAAACACCGATGTTAGGGAGAAGGGTTTTAGCTCATCTCCTGAGTTGCTAACTTTCTACAAGAGAGGGATTGTTCCATTGGGTGGAGGGACCTACAGATAGTCCTTGACTTATAAGCATTTGTTTAACAACCATTCAAAGTTACAACAGTATTGAAAAAATTGACTTATGACTGGTGCTTACATTTGTGATTGTCAAAATTTGGGACCTTGGCAAGTACTGTACCAGTAGTTGCAATGATTACAGCATCCTAGGGTCATGTGATCTCCATCTGGGACTTTCCTAGCTGGCTTCTGACAAGCAAAGTCAACGGAAGGAACCAGATTCCTTTAATCACTACAAAATTCACCTAACTGCATATTTAACAACCATGGCACAAAAAGTGGTAAAGTTCAAGGCAACTCATTTAACAACCCTCTCGCTTAGCAATGAAAATTCTGGTCCCAATTGTGGTTGTAAGTCAACAACTACTTGTATCTCCTGCATTTAGATGTCAGATATAGCGTGAAAAAACAGATATGCAACTTTGGGATACATGGGCCTCAAGAAGAGGTATCTATTTAGAATTATAAACTTGGCTTTGTTAGGGCCCGTTCCTTTTTTTATCTATTGGCAGGGTGTTTATAGATGGATGGATGGATGGATAGACAAGACAGACAAGTTGTTTTGAAATTGCCTATCACAGCCAAACAGGCTGAAAGCTGTTTGTCAGAGAGCAAAGTTCGGGGCTATAAATTTATCCTAGGAAATTACCTGGCTCTCCATATAAACACTCTGTCAACAGATAAAAAAGGAACTGGCCCTAACAAAGCAATAAAAAAAAAGAACTGGCCCTAACAAAGCTAATCAATTGCAGCTATTCCACCTTTTTTCTGCAACAATATTTTTTTGGGGAAGGGCGGTATAAAGAAAAAAATTGAGAAGGAAGGAATATTACCTGGAGCTTTGATTGCATTCTGTATCTCAAGTGTTTCTCAGCCTGGGAAACTTTAAAATGGATGGACTTCCATCTCTCAGAATTCCCAGAGCAGAACAATTTTATTGATTTATCACATTTAGAAACAGCCCATTTCTCTCACAGCGCAACTCTGGGGAGTGTACAAGTAAGGCATAAAAGCATAAATTGTTCAATAAAAGCCTAATTGAGGAGAATGTGCAGGTCTTTCATTGTTTGCTTCTCAGGTGTACGTTTGTGTACAGAAAGAAGCAAACCTCTAAGGGAGTAGGGAGGAAAGATTGCCGGTGGAAAAAGTTAGCTAGTTCTTAGGTAATCTTGGAAATTTAGGCAGGTTTGGTGTGATTGATGATACTTGGATGGGAGACCACCAAGAGATCCCAGGACTGTAGGTTAAGACTGAGAAGTTGAAGAACGTGGTAGAAGCAGCAAGTGGTCGTTCCCCTTCTAAGGCACAACGGGACTTGCCTGGTTTTAACTCAACCTCTTGTTGTGATGAACCTTGCCAATGGTGTTTTTTCCCCCACACTTTAGGCCCGAGCAGCCCAAAACTTAGTGTGATCTGCGAACAGTCTCCTCTTGTCTATAAGATGGCTTTTAGTTTTTTTTACCCAATTTTGTGCCTGAATTGCTTTAATCACTCCCATTCCTAGATTAACCCACAACCGGGATCTTTTCCCTTTCCCGCCCCAGCCGCTGCAATCTTCGGGGCAAGCAGATCCCCCTCCCCCTGCCCCTCCCCCCCCCCAAAAGCTGATCTACGTTTCTCGGAAATCAGCAGTCCTTCCCCGCAACGAGAAATCGAAAGTGGAAGTAGCAGCGGGCAGAACTGCGCCTGCGCTGGAAAGCCCCGGACTCCTGGAGCAGACGCTTGCGGGAAACCTCGTGCCTAGCTACCGGTGACGACACAGCTCTTTCCATTTTTCTGATTGGTCCAGAGAGAGGGACTTTTTCTCTTAGGCGTAGTTCCCCAGCTCCGCAGCGTCATTTCGGTTGCGGTCCGAGTAGAGTGCAGGGCTGTTGTCGCGGCTGCCACAAAAAAACAGAAAAAAAACAAACCATGGCCTTCAAAGAGCTTTTCCTCTGGTGCGTTGTGTTGGTGTGGGTCTCCGGCCCCGCGGAAGCCTTGGATAGTAAGACAACTTTTCTGCTTGTCGCGCGTGCGGTTTTTGCGCTCCTGCCAGGGGTTCCTGTCCTCCGTCCGTCCGGCGGCGGCCACCTTCTAACCCGGGCTAGGAACGGGTGACTTGAGAAGTTGCGGTGCTTAAAATGGGTTTTCTTTTTCCCTGCGTTGGTTGCATTTCTCCAGGAGCTTCGAGCGTCGGGCTTCCAGCCCGTGGGAGGGGTTGGGCGGGAGCGGGGGGGGGGGTCCTGGACCCCGAAACTCGCAGGGACTTTGGGTGGTGGTGGTGAAGGTGGGTTTGCGTCTCCTGGATCTGTCCCGGATTAGTCCAGTGGTTTGTTGGAAGATGTAGTCTTAAGACAGAAAGCCTGTCTTTCTGTGGCCTGGTATAATCTTATTTCTTTATATCCGGCCTTTATTGTTTTTACAAATACTCTAGGAAATTAAATTTGTGTCTCCTGGGTCTGTCCCGGGTTAGCCCAGAAATTTGTGGGAAGCCGGGAGTTGCCGTCTTAAGGAAGTGAGGGGAGGGGGCTTCTTGCCTCTCTTTCTGTGGCCTGGTATGATCTTATTTTCTTTATATCCTGCCTTTATTACTTTTACAAATATTTTAGGGAATTAAAAGGAAAATGTCGACCCCCCCTTGTGATACTGGCTTTGGAGAGACAGATCTGATTGGAAGAAGAATAGGACAATTGAATTGAATTTTGTTTTTTTGTTCTTCTTTCAGTTGATTGGGATGTAGGAGAAGGAAATGGGAGGGGTTCTCTTTGTTCTTCCATGTTTATTACATTTTTTAAAAAGCTGCCTAAAGGTCAGGATGGCTTAAACTATTCCAAAACAATAAAAATCTCCCCCCTCCAAAGGCAGAAATTCTGGATGTGGAACACAAAGGCCTGTGATGGCCACCATCTTGTTGTCTTTTGTTATAAACTTCACGGCAACTTGGTTTTCTTCCTTTTGCAGTGTTTCTGACGTAGTTATGGGGCTCAGTGCCCCAAATGCAAAAGGGAAAAAGAGGAAGACTTAAGTAACAAATATTTTCTTTGATTTGGAAGGGAGGATGGTGTGCCGGAAAGAGGCATGTTTTCTGATATGGTGCATTATCCGAAAGTAAAATAAAATAGTCGGGAAGGGCTGTTCTAGAGTTTCGCAGTAGTTGCTAGATTTAGGAAAATAGAGTCTGGGAAATTAATAGTGAAAAGAAGCTTGGGCTGTTAATTTCTGAAACTTGCCGGCCTTATTTTTTTGGTTTTGCTTTAAAAATATTTATATCCCACCTTTGTTATTTTTGCCAGTAACTCAAGGTGGCAAATATATCCAACACACCTTCCTCCCCCCTGCAGCAACAGCCCTGCAAGGGTGTTTGGGCTGACAGAGAGTGACTGTTCCAAAGGAGATCTGCCCAAAGTCAACCAGCTGGCTTTCATGGCTAAGGCAGGACTTGAACTCAAGGTCTCCTGTTTTCTAGCTGAGTAACAGGGAAAGAAAAGGAACAAAACAGAAAGATAATTGCAATAGATACGTTGCCAAAGGAAAAAAAAAATCTTTTAAAAGTGCTTTTAAAAAAACTGAAAGCAAAAAACAAACATTTTGTTCGCTCTAAAATCATTGTTTTTCAACCTGGGCAACTTTAAGATATGTGGACTTCAACTTACAGATAACGTGCTGACTGAGGAATTCTGGGAGTCCACACAGCTCAAGAGTTCCATGGTTGAAAAACACTCTGTGTGTGTGTCGCACTTTTATTTAATCTTTGTTCTCCCAGAACTGGGGGTGAGGATGGGAGTTACAACTGTTGCACCTCTCCCAACTGTGATTGTGATCGCAGTTACAAAGACTGACAGTGCCCTGCGGTCACATGACCTTAATTCCCAGCCTGCTTCTGACATGCAAACGCAATGGGGGAGCCGGAACCACTTAACAACCATGTGATTCGCTTAATGACCACAATAAAAATGGTAATAAAATCAGGTCCGGTCATGTGATGATTTGCTTAACGACCGCATCACTTAGCAACCAAAATTCTGATCCAAATTGTGGATGTAAGTCGAGGACAATCTGGACCAAGTCAGGAGAATCCTGCCTGCAGTCAAAAGGATTCATTTTGGGAACCCATTTCTTTGCTTCTTTTTCTTTTTCTTTCTTTTTTAAAGTCCCCTATATCTTTCTAAAGAGGTGGTCCTGAAGCCACCTGGATAGATCAGGTGTTGGAAGCCATATTTTCTCTGGAAGCAACATCTGAGGACCAAAATCTATCTCAAGGTCCTCTGGGCATGGTGAAGAAAATACGGGCAAGATGACCTGGGTTTGCAACATCTTCTCTTGTTTTTTTTTCTCCCCTTCAACCTATAGGACAGCCAGATGTGCAAATGTATTCCCGCTATCCCATGTCGGTTGGCAAGGAGAACGTTCTGCACTGCTTCGCGGAGGGTTTCCACCCTCCAAAAATCAACGTTACTCTTCTGAAGAATAATGTTGAACTACCCAACGTCAAGCAGTCTGATCTCTCTTTCAAGGAAGACTGGACCTTCCAGCTTCTGACTTACGCTTCGGTGGTTCCCAATGGAAAAGATGAATATACGTGCAAGGTGGAACACCAGGCGCTTCAGGCACCAAAAATTGTGAAATGGGGTAACTACTTTGACTTGACTTTCTGTTCCATTTCCTCCTCTCTCTCCCCATTCTTCCTCTGCTTGAAACAGGAATAGTTAAGATGTCTTAGGCTATGGTTTAGCCCAGGGGTCTCCAAACTTGGCCACTTTAAGACTTGTGGACTTCAACTCCCAGAATTCCCCAGCCAGCATGGTCCATAAGTCTTAAAGTCATCAAGTTTGGAGACCCCTAGTTTAGCTGGAGAATACATCATGGGAGTCACCAGTCTAGTCTCTCTCCACATATTGCTGGTCTAGTCTTCCTGGTCTCCTTCCCCTTGGTGAGGGATCCTGGGAGTTGTAGTTCAGCAACCTCTGGAAAGCTAGAAGTTCCCCACCTCTCCTGTAAAGGGGCCGGTGCAGTGAAGCTATATCCTGGGCACTGAAGCAACCTTTTGTTGAACCCAGTCCTAACTTCCAATGAACCATGATAATCTGTTGGATTTCTTTCCGATCATCCATCTGCCATCTCTGACAAACCATGGCTTACTTTTTTAGCCTTTGATAGTTGAGCAGTCAGAAAACAGGCAACACATGAATCCTGGAATTCTACTTTATTGTCATGGGGTAGAATAGCAGAAGTCTGCAAATGATAGTAAGCGTCCCTTTCCTGTATCTTAGGATTTCAGTAGACATGTTTCTAAAAAGGAAGAAGTACAATCAGTTCACTAAGTCTGATTGTTTTTATTATTCTGTGTTAAATCTGTACACTTCCCAGTTTCCAACGATTCTGGGCAGTTCGCTTGTAAACCTCAAGAAAAGGAATCTGTTACAGATCTGTTGTGGATCTGTAGGCTACTGCTGGATTCTGTTCTTGCCTTCCCTAGATCGCTTTCTTTTCTTTAAGAGGATTTCTCTTGAGGTTCCTCTGAAATATACTAACTCATTCTACACAAAGCCTTGATAGAAAATGCTGCCAGAAAGGTCTTTATAACCATTTAAGACAAAAAATAAAAAATTAGATGGTAAACGTCTGGCTGAGCATGTGAAGCAGCAGCAAAGTATTAGCTTAGAATCTGTAGGCCCTCAATGATTTGATATATGTTTGAAGAAATGTTTGCTAAAAGTTTACTCTTTGTCTTCTACAGGACAGGATTACTAAGCCAGTAGTCTCCATCAAATAAGGTAAGAGATGGCTGTTTCATGAAAAGTGTGCTTCACAGGAAATATGAAAATATGTGTATTATGTTTATGTGTAGTATTATTACTAAGGGAGTAAAAGATCAGTAAGGGAGTAAAAGCAGTAAACAAAATGAAACTAGAGAGCCATGTGTTTAAGCAGCTTTTGTCAGGAAAGACCTGTGAAAAAAAAGAAGAAAGCTGAAACTTCAAACCAGTGTTTCTCAAACTTGGCTACTTTTAAGATGTGTGGACTTCAACTCCCAGAATTCCCCTGCCAGCATGCATGTATATGTGTGTATGTCTGTGTATGCAGAATCCACATGATATACTGTCAAAAAACATAGAATACAATAACCAAAATAATCATAATTAATATTTCTACTGTACTTTAAAGCAGAGTTGCCTTCATTACCTGCCTTCATTACCTGCTTATCCTTTTTACTTACTCAATGTAGGTAAAACACTTTAAAAGTCCCTGCTGTGATTGGGTAACGGGTTCATGTGTCTAAAATGTTTAAATCGTGGCAACTAGACCAAAGTTTGTTAATCTGAGATGTTTCGCTTCCCATTCAGGAAGCTTCATCATGTTTTTTACCCAAAGAAAAACCAATTTTATTCAGTGTTGGATAATTTACCCAGGTTTGGCTGAGCACTGCTTTAAACACCCTTCACAATCTTTTGTCAATCCTTACAAGAGCCCTGCACAACTCTTGCAATACTTTTAAAAGTACTTTCCCCATATTTTCATGATTTTATATTTCCAATCTAAATTAAGAGAGACTCAAACACAGATGCAAAAAACAATTTGGTTTTCCAATCCAGCCTATAGTGTACTGTACTACATTCCTTGTTTTTTTTAATGTAAAATTTTTTTTTTTTTCCAGATTTGATGAATGCTGCTTTGAAGCACTAGTTCTGCTGATGATGTTTCTGAATTGACTTCGAGTGCTGTTTCTGCTTATCACTGATTGAAAAACACCAATTTCAACTTTTAAAAGCCAGGCCTTTTCAGGAAACTATCAAAGATAGCCCTCAAATCAGCATTTGAGCCATCGTGATTTTAGAAAAAGTTTTCTACATTTAGATGACTCCATATGGAGTCATCATCATAAATATAGAGTCATAGTCTCATAGAGTCACTCAGTGAGGGAGATAGACAGTCCCTAAATACGACTGATTAATCAATTTGAATGTCTGAAAAGGCCATCACTTTTGCTTTATTGCTGTGTTAAATCTTTTAGGAATTAAGAGTATTTGCTTCTGTTATTGTTGAGATAAGAATGGGAAAATAGAATTTTCTAAAAATGATAATTAAAGTTTCCTTTTATAAACTGCTGACACTCTTACCCAGCACATAAGTTCATTTTGTTATCCACCACTAATGTATTCATAACCCTCCAATAAAAGCTATCTTTCAGTGTTTTCTTTGGAAGTTCTTTGTGGCTTTGAATGATTGAGTGAAGCACCTCAAAAGTACTTTACAATAAAACATTAGGCTACATAGTAAGCAATTCATTAAAAGAGTGTACGTTAAAAAAAAATAAAAGCCAATATAAGCTACATGAGACCTGGCCAAGATTCTCAGCCAAATTTAGCACGCTGCAAATAATATAGTAAATTGAACAATTATTAGAATAATGATTTGTCTGCATAACTGCAATAATGATGTGTCTGCATAATTGATATAATATAGTAAATTGAACAATTATTAGAATAATGATTTGTCTGCATAACTGCAATAATGATGTGTATGCATAATTGCTAGAACAATGATGTAATGCATAATCACTGGGAAAATTCACTGGGAAAGTTCTCTGTCAGTAATATGTGGCAACCAAATGCGCTCTGCACATGGATACTTTGTATGTAGCAAAACCTTCCAT